ATTTTTTTTTTTTAAAGAAGATGTTGGGGGTAGGAGTTTATTAATTTATTTATTTTTGCTGTGTTGGGTCTTTGTTTCTGTGCGAGGGCTTTCTCTAGTTCTGGCAAGCGGGGGCCACTCTTCATCGCAGTGCGCGGGCCTCTCACTATCGCAGCCTCTCTTGTTGCGGAGCACAGGCTCCAGACGCGCAGGCTCAGTAGTTGTGGCGCACGGGCTTAGTTGCTCCGTGGCGTGTGGGATCTTCCTGGACCAGGGCTCGAACCCGTGTCCCCTGCATTAGCAGGCAGATTCTCAACCACTGTGCCACCAGAGAAGCCCTGCTGTCAACATTTTTGTACAACTTTTTGTATAGATGTGTGTTTCTTTTCTTTGGGGGCAAATATAGGAATATATTACTGGGTCATGTGATAAGGGTACATTTAACCTTAGGAGAAACTGGCAAACTGTTTTCCAAGGTGGTTGGAGGATTTTGCACTGTGTGGGGAATTCCAGTTCTTCCACATCCTCTCCAACACTTGTTGTTAGTGTTTAAAATTTCAGCAGCACAGGTTTTGAAGTCAGACAGATTTCAGATTCTAGTTCTGTTACTTGCTAACCCTGTAACTGTGGATGAGTTATCTGTTCTTATAGAGTCCAGCTTCCAGTCTCATTTTAAGCATGAGAATCCTAATACCTTCTTCATGAAGTTGTTGTAAGGATAAAATGTTTAAAGGTAAAGCACCTGGCCTTGGCTACATGATTTATGTAAAACTTGGGAACCAGGAAAAGGAGAGGGATACAAGTTTGGGAGGGGGGAAGAGTTAGACACTTTAATAACAGCAGACTTAAAGTTGAAAAGAAATGAACATAGAATTTCAAGTTTGAACCTAAGAGTAGCTTAGGTAACTATCAGATAGAAGCATAATAACTTGCTGACATATTCTAGCTCAGAAACCAACCACACAGTTATCTCCTAAAATCAGTAACGTATTTGTTCTCAATTTTTTAAATTCTTAAAAAAATTTTTTCTATTAGTTTTTGGTCTCAATTTTTAATGTGCACCTGAACCGTTCTAGGTGGAGGTGAGGCAGTAGGGTGATAGATTAATGCAAGAAAAAATTTAGCTAGAGAGTTTTGAAATACAACTTGCTGTCTGTATGCATCCCTGGAAATTCTGATTCTCATGATTTGGGGCAGGGCCCAGTCATCTGCATTTTTTTACAAGCTCTCCAGGTGATTCTGTTATCAGTGGACCTTGTCCTGTATTTAAGCATGTTTTCAAGAGTGGTGTGGAAGGTATCTAATCATACCATGCCTCTACTTAAAACAAATCCTTCCCTTCTGTCTCTAACATACTGTCAAATGCATCCTGGACAAAGTCCAGCTCCTTAGCATGGCTTCCAAGTTTCTTCACAATTTCCCAGGCTCAGGTACTAAGGAGGATAACGCTAGGAGACACTGTTTCTCATCAGGGAAGAAAACAAATCTCCCATTCTCTTTTAAGAAAACACTGCACAGTGCTAATGTGAGGAGGGCACATCATAGGTCCTTAACAGAAACCAGTTTCACTACCTGTTTCTTCTGATCAGCTATGAGTATTTCCACATTCCCCAAACATTTTGCCACTCATCCCATAACTCAGATGCTTTTCCTTCCTCCCACTGAAATCCTACCCTTCTTTCATAACTTATTCAAAGGTTCCATTACCTCTAGTCTGAAATCTTCCTGAATTTCTCCTCATTCTGTCTCATGAGGGTCCTTGTATTGTATGCAACTTTACTCAACATTCACTACATGTGTTTACTTGTCTGTTTCTCCATCTAGCACAGTAGTTCTTAATTGTTCACGCCCACTACCCAGGACAGATAACACAACCCCACCCCTCAGGGATCACTCCATGCTCAGGTCCTATTAGGCAGGAGTCCAGAGACCAGCTTTATCTTCAGACCATTCTCTCTCTCTTAGGAAAGCACGTTGGGTTGCAAGAGTGTTAGAATGATGGGTTGTAGTGATAACTGTGATTTCAGTTGAGGACTTGTCCCCAAAGAAAATTATATAGGTTGACCCATTAGGATGTGGAAGAAAATATTACATTTTCTACTTATTTGCCATTTTAACCTAAAAATAAAGAAGAAGCTGGCCTTCCTAATATTTTCTTTGTGGATTGACCCTGGCATTCTCATGCAAGTGTAACATGTATGGGTGGTTTCCTGGGTGTGGCAGTGTGAACCCAGCACAGAGGGATTTAAAGTGGTCCTTTGCTGAATTGTCTGCTTTCAACATGCTGTGATGACTGTCCTCCCAGGTCATAGAGTTAGAGAGTAATAGAACCAGAGTTGAAATCTGTCTGACAACAAGCTGTCAGACAAATTAAAGCAACAAGATAAATGGCAGAGCTGACAGCCCTGAGAGTGAGGGCTCATTCAAAGCCACATTGAGAAAGTAAAACAACGATGATCTAAGCCAACCTAACAAGGAGACCAAAAAAAAAAAAAAACAAAAAACCACAACCTTACAACCAAAACCCCCAAAACGTTGACATTGATGTTATCAAGAAGTCAAGAAGTCTATATGGAATATGAATTTATAAGCACCTCTTCCTAGTACTAGTAAACCCCTGCCTAAGTGCATTATTGTACATTCAGATTTAAGCTAATGAAATGAAACCATATGATTCGCAAGACATTTAAAAACTAAGCATTTTGTAACATGTCAGCAAACCACTATATTTTTTAAAAGCAATGTTTGAAATCATAGGGTTTTGAATTCAACACCTCACAAAATTCACTAAACTTACTGATAAATGTTTAGAGGTAATTTTTTTCCTTTTTTTTTTTTAGTTTTCTTACTAGCAGAGGCAAAGAGCCACATGCCATAATGACTAAAATAAAACAAGGGAAACCACACAGTGCAAAAAGAATAGGTACATGCTTGTCTGTGTCCATTGTTGGAAGATGCATAGAAAATATTGCCAAGTGTTAGAACAGATTATGAAGCTTTGGGCATCTGGATAAAAAACCCAATATAACTCAGCCTATGGTGTTTGTTGAATTGTTTCAGTTATGAAATATACATACAGTTGCTCTTTCTCTTTCTGTGTGTACCATTAAAAAAAGGAATATGTACCAGTGAAGACATATACTCAACAGAAAATTCTTAAAAAAAAAAACCCTGGGGCTTCCCTGGTGGCGCAGTGGTTGAGAGTCTGCCTGCCGATGCAGGGGACACGGGTTCGTGCCCCGGTCCGGGAAGGTCCCACATGCCGCGGAGCGGCTGGGCCCATGAGCCATGGCCGCTGAGCCTGCGCGTCCAGAGCCTGTGCTCTGCAATGGGAGAGGCCACAACAGTGAGAGGCCCGCGTACCGCAAAAAAAAAAAAACCAAAAAAAACAACAACAAAAAACCCTGGAAGCATTTTCACTAATAGAGTTACTCCATTGACTAGAATAAAAAGATTTCCAGGTAAGAGTACAAACACAGCACCGTCAATGAAATTCTTTCACTGTATCATTTATTGGCAAGCTATTGTAGCAAAGCCAAAAGCGTACAGAATGAGATAGGATATCATCAATGTGGTTATTGTTACTGGAGCCAGAATCTTAAGTGTAATAGAATCTTCGTAACATTTTGTAATGAGATGGGGAGTCACCGTGAAACTATTTTGACAATGTGCTCGTAAAAACCATCAAGCCTGAAGATGAATTACGCATTTTAAAAATCAATAGACAACTGTTTCAAACTTGCTGACCTTTTCTCTGATGACAGCTGGTTGTTGGTAACATGTCACCTAGCAAATATTAAAAACAAACAAACAGAAACACCTACCTCACTTCATGGAAAAGGAGAGGAAGTAATTGCTTTCTGAAAGTAAGTTGTAGAGTGTGGTGTGTGAAAATACTCTTTAAAAACAAAGGTAGGGGAGTGGGAGAGGGATGCACTGGGAATTTGGGATTAGAAGATGCAAACTATTATATAGATAATGGATAAACAACAAGGTCTTACTGTATAGCACAGGGAACTATATTCAATATCCTGTGATAAATCATAATGGAAAAGAATATGAAAAAATGTATATATATGTATAACGGAATCACTGCTGTACAGAAGCAATTAACACAACATTTAAAATCAACTATAATTCAGTCAAATAAATTAAAAAAATAAAATTCAACAAAATGACAACAACAAAACAAACAAAATAGGTGGTGTTGGGAGCTGGCTTTGAAAACACATGTTTGGAAATGTGGCTACTATTATGTGATTCCGCTGCTGACATGATGAGCTCCCTCCATAAACTCTCATATCTGTGTACATTAAAAATATCTGGGAAGTAAACTTTTTAAACCTGCTTTTAAAATTTCAAAATGACTTCATCAGTGGGGTGTGAACCCGTCTGTGACAAATCGGATAGCTTCCAGTTAGTTTGCTAAAAAATAAAGATTAACATCAGGAAGAAGCGTATTTCATGAGTGACATTCAACAAAAATCTGTACAATTGAACGAGAATCATGACTTAGCACAACCAACCAGGTACACCTTTTGTTTGGAACAATCCATCTTTGTGAGGCATCTTTTTTCAGCCATGGTTTTGTTTTTTTTTTCCTTTGGCCATGCCATGTGGCTTGTGGGAACCTAGTTCCTGACCACGGATTGAACCCGGGCCCCAGGAGTGAAAGCACTAAGTCCTAACCACTGGACCGCCAGGGAATTCCCAAGCCATGACTATCTTTGAAAGCCAGTTCAGAAAGAAAATTAACCTGAAACAAGGCCTTTGAATAGTCATATCACAAAGGTCTAAATCAAGAGTCTAAAAATAGTGAAACATATTCAATCAAAACGCTGTCCTCCCCCCAAATATTACTATTTTAGCAAGAGCAAAACCTTTACTTCACCTTTATCTTGTTCTTTACAAATGCCTATTTTTGTGAGTTTTGTGATTGATATATTAGTATAGTTATATACCTATATAGTTTGTAAATAAACATCGCTATATTGTGGTTCACGTGCTGACATTTTTTGCAGGTACATAATCGAAATAGTGTGGCAATCCCTACAGCTGAATGTGAATCCCTTGGAGGTGACCCGAGTCTTCCTCATCCAAGTTTACTTCTCGCCCACACAGAGCACGTGATAAGGAGCCTCCGTTCCGTAGGCTGCCTGGCGGGCTGGCTGAATGAAGACATCAATCGGTAAAAATGTTTCCATGATAGGAACAACATAAACATCAACTCGCGGAGGGGGGCGGGGGTACTGAATACATAAGTAAGCATTTGGCAGAGGAACAAAAACCATCAAATGTGAATCCTGAGGTGCGTCTATAAATAACACTCATAGGAGCTAAATTCACTGAGTGTTCACTCTGTGCTAGGTGTGTTCCATATTCAGCCCTCGGACCCTCCCCGAACTTTCACAACAGCCTTGTGAGATATGCCAGCAGCAGGCTGGTGTCACAGGTACCTGTGCCGCCTTCTAGAAGGAGGGCTGCCCCGGGGACAATTCTGGAAACTGTTTCCTTGTCTCCTCAGGGGATTTCAGACCCAAAGAGATCCCGATCATGTGCTCTCCTGTGTAAAATGAGTTACAGAAAGAACTGGAAAAGAAAGGTCGACACGGAGCCTTCATATATAATGATGTTATCATCGGTCTGCAGGGCACAGGAGATAAGCTCTGAGCTATTTTTCCAGCAAGTGGAAAAAACCAAGCTGCCCGGTAGGCCTCCCTGTGGGTAGGGCAACCTCGGGTCTGCCCCAGGGTCCAGCACTTCCTCTCTAGGGGGTTGACACCCCTTGGCCTCCTCCTTCCTCTCCCCACACACAGGGGACAGGGGTGCAGGGAGGTCCTGTCTCACTCTGGCTTTTGAGAGCGCAGAGCACTAAATGGTCTAAGGCAGGGCTAGCTTTTTCATTTCTCAACCTAGACAGGTTTAGAAATCAACTAAAACCAGACTTTGTAACATTACAGAGTCCCCTGGCCGAGTGAGCACAGGCAACGGCTGCCTCCCAGGTGATTTGGGGACTGGAAGGTGAGAGCCTGCCCTCCTTTGTATCCTGGATCCTGAGATATTCCCCCAGTTAGAGGAACCAAGATGATAACACTTGCAAGGCTGTACCGTCAACTTCTTTCATAGTCCTTTTGGGATCTCAGCAATTCAGACAATTCCGAATTGAATTCATTGATGCTCAGAAAGGAACCGTCAGAGGCACCTGAGGCCACCCTGTTCACCTCTGAGTGTGGGACCCAGGGCTGCTGCCTCAATGGTCCTATCCAAGGGAGAGGCCTCTTCTTAGATAACCGGGGGGGGAGGCTGAGCTTCTGCTGGAAGGCCAATCACTTTATTCTAGGCTTAGGTTGAAAATGTTTGGAGGACCAGAGTGGACAACACACTGCCGAGGGTGGGGAGAGCAGGATTCATGGACACGCTTTCGGCCCAGTTTGCACACAGGAGAGGAGAATAACTACAGCTGCCATGTTTTCAAGCTCCTCCTCTGCCAGACCCTTGTCATACATTTTTTTCTCGTTGAATCTGCTGATAGCCTCTTAAGGTAGACATGATCCCTGCGTTACTACAGTTGAAGAAATAAGGCCACTCCTAATCATTCAGGACTGGAATCCCTTTTGGCTCCCATCTGATCCCCAGCTCCCCTACTCCCGGAGCCTGCTTGTGCTTGAGACTTTATTTAATCATAAAGAATGAAGTTCAACTGACTGAAACGCCATCTGGGTGAATGTATTGAGGAGAAGCCTCTGTTTCCTCCCCTCCTTCTCCCATCGTCCTCACTTCCTGCTCACCCAGCACTGTGTGACAGTGTCCTGATGGCAGCGCTCTTGGTAATGCATGGCGTAGCCAGGGCCCAGGAGGGGTGGACTCTGGGCCTCCGGGAAGGCACATGTTCCCTTGGCCCTTGGTGTATCACAGTGCCAGCTGCCAGAACAGTGGGACAAGCTTATAGTGACAGGTCTTCTAGACTTTGCATGGAACACAGGGGGGACACACCTGAGTGGCCTCCTATTGCTGAAGCCTGGTGAGCCCTGGCTGCCACCCAACATCGCCATGCTGCTCAGGAGCTGGGCCCAAACTGGCCTGCTGCAGGGAGGCTGATTCCTCACCAGCTGGATGTGGGATCTCTTTTTCTTTGCCCGATCAACTTTGACTTATGTTTACTTCACTTTAGTGACTTTGAACACTCACCAAATTTCTGTAGGTGGCCCTTGGGTAAAGAAACTCCTCCAGGGGCTTCCCTGGTGGCGCAGTGGTTGAGAGTCCGCCTGCCGATGCAGGGGACGCGGATTCGTGCCCCAGTCCGGGAGGATCCCACATGCCATGGAGCGGCTAGGCCCATGAGCCATGGCCGCTGGGCCTGCGCATCCAGAGCCTGTGCTCCATGGAGGGAGAGGCCACAGCAGTGACAGGCCCGCGTACCGCAAAAAAAAAAAAAAAGAAGAAACTCTTCCAACTGGTCACTGAATGAATAAGCAGCTTAATTTAGCTTGGTTCTTTTATAAAACATCTTCCTCCTTCATTCTTTTAACTTAAAAAATATGAAATACACATACAGAAAAAGCCTGAAATATATATATATATACATTCAATTATAAGAATAGTTATCAAGCAAGATCTTGTGAAACTACCACCCACGTTTAGAAATTGCCATTCCAGTATCTGAGAAGCCTTCTGTATATCCCTCCTCAATCGCCAACCCCTCCTCCTCTCAAAAGTAGCGTTATGGTTTTTCTGATAATGGTTACACTGATTTCCTTTTCTACTTTTACCGCCTGTCTCCATGTTTAAATGGAGTCGTCTTACATGTGTTCTTTGTAATACTTTCTTCTTTTCGCTCAGCGTTATATGTAAGAGTCACCCAAGCTGATGAATGCAGCTGTAGTTATTTTCACGGATGCATAATTACTCCGTTATATTAATACACCATGAGATGTTTTCCCAGTCCATTATTGATGGACATTGACCTCATTGTTTCTGGCTTTGTTGTTTTTATGAACAACACTGCCATAAATATTCTCCTACACATCTCCCAAGAGAGACACATTTGCAAATGTTTCTTTGAGAGCCATCACCTAGGGATGGAATTACTGGGTTGTCGGTTTCCACTTGTTCAGATTTACTAGGTTTTTATAATATATCCTGTGGTTTTATATACTTTTGTATAATTTTTAAAAATTAGTTTTCCCCTTAGGTATTTTTGATTTTATTATTTGACTGCGTTGGGTCTTAGTTGTGGCTCACGGGCTCAGTGGCCCCACAGCATGTGGGATCTTAGTTCCCCGACCAGGGATTGAACCCACATCCCCTGCATTGGAAGGTAGATTCTTAACCACTGGACCACCAGGGAAGTCCCCCCTTAGGTATTTTTAAAAAGTCATTTCTTTCTAAAAAGTTTAAAATATGATTCTCATACAAATATAGGATGAATGTATGTCAAGACTTTAACTCAGTGATGAATAAGGGAATTATTAAGATGGTCAAGTCTTAAAGGAGAATTTGAGGAATGGAGATTTATGTTGTTAGCTGGTCAAAGGAATACTGAAATGATGTTGCTAATAGAAAACTAGTTAATGTTCTATAGGGTGATAAAATCATAACCTTGATGTTATCTTTTCTACCAGTCAGAAATCCATTAGTCAACATAACTTCATAATATCTGAGCTCTAATCAAATAGTAAACAGCAAAGTCAAACACAAGTGTATTCTAGGTAACTAAATATTTCTTAGATGAGCTTTGTTCAACAGTGACATTAATAGGACACGTGGTCACTCTCCTGCCTTCTTTCCAAGTTTGGGATATTTTTTCTTAATAATACTGCACTTTGCTTCCAAGTTTGTGGTGAGGATCAAATGAGGACATATAAAAGTGCTTTGTAAACTGTAAGTTACCCAATATATTTTCATTATTATGGTTGTTTCACAAAGCCCTCCTAAATAATCTATTGGATTTAATATGGGATATGGGAATTATTGAATACCTATTTTTTAAACTATTGTTTTTATCTAATTTAATTCTTACAAAAAGACTGAAAAGACCCCAAATCTGCTTTAGTTTTTCTGTCTGTAAGATTGGAATAATAGTAGTACCTATCTCACTGGGCTGTTGTGAGAATTAATGAGTAATATAGACTTACTGTTAAAAACAGTGCCTGATACATAGTAAATACACAAGACATGATGTTTCATTGAGTGTCAAATCTGTTATTTGAACAAATCTACTGAAGATTATTTTTAATAATATATTTTTAGAATTTCCGTTTGGTTCTTATATAAATCTGCCTTCATTAAAAAATTACCTTAGTCTTATCTCATGTTTTAAGTTCCTGTTTTTACTAATATACTTTATTTTTAGAGCAGTTTTAAGTTTACAGAAAAATTGTACAGAAAATACAGTGTTCCCAAATACCCGCTCTCTACCCCTGTACAGTTTCTTCTATTATCAACATCTCGCATTAGTGGAGTACGTTGTTACAATTGATGAACCAATATTGATGCACTAGTCCATGGTTTCCTTTAGGGTTCATTCTTTGTGTTGTACAGTTTTTTTGGTTTTGAAGGATGCATAGTGTCATGTATCCAGCACTACAGCATCATACAGAATAGTTCCTTTTGTCTTTAATCTTTCAAAATCTGCTGAAATATAGTCTGTCTTCAATACTATTATGTAAAATGTGGGTCTAATCCTGTCATTCGTTGTGTCTACTAATTCTCACTGGGATTGTTTCTTCATTATTTTTCCTAATTAAAAGATTTGCTAGCTGCTATATAACTCCACATATACTCTAGCAAAATAAATCTTAGCCCCTATAGTTAATTTTTAAAACCACAGCTTACTAACTAGAGATGGCTGCGTTCTTCAGACCAGTTGGAGGCACAGGAACTCGTGGTGCCGTCATAGCCTTGTGAGGATAATGTGTGTCCCTCCTTTCTAGGTTTTTATTTTATATCCCATTTATTTGCAGTTCAGCCCAATTTACTGCTAGAATCATCTGTTTTGTATTTTGGGGTTACTCCCCTACCCTGGAAACCAGTATTCATTTTGATGAATGTCCCATTATGTAATGAAAGTATAACTCCGGGCCAATTAACTCTTCTGAGTCTTGGTTTTCTCTTCTGTAAAAAGGGGATGATAAACAGGGATGTGGAAGCTTAATTATTCTGTACCATGTTGCCTGTCATAGTGTAAGCACTCTAAGTCAACTCTTATTGATATTATTTTTCTTTGTACCAATCTTTTCCCAATAGCATTTTAGTCCCAAATCAAATGCAGCCTGGTATTACAACCATTGTAACAATATAATCACTATTAATTCCTTGTCCTTTCCATAGTGTGCCCCTAATCTGACTGTATCTGGCTCATCCATCCTCATTGTTTCTGGACAACATCTCTCTTGTTGTCCCTATATACACACCATGCTCATTCACCTCTCCACTTAGATGGAGTTCTCCCAGTCTCCGTGACCCCATTCTTTTCAGCCTCTAACCAAATCACCTCTCCATTCTTCAGAGCTCAATTAAAGTTCTATGTCCTTTGTGAAGCCTTTTGACCAAGTTTAATCCACACTAATCTTTCTTGAACTCGAAAGCCTCTATGGAGAGTATCCCAGAGTGTAGCTTTCTCAGGATTTGGTGGTTTTGTTCCTGGTGTGGCTGTGATTGGCTTCCTAACTAGATTGAACATTTTCCTATAGGAAAAGGACATGTTTTCGTGTATATATAATACCACCAGGTTCAGGTAAGTGCTCTCATGTATTTTTAAATTTTGTCTTTTTAGTGTGTCTTTGGTGGGAATTTGGGGCCTGGTTTGCGGCTGTGTCCCTCCAAAGAGGATTTCTCTTTATTTCTGCAAAGTGTTCTTTGGTGACCAGTCTGGGAACCACACCTTTCATTAACTTTTCAGACTGGGGGCTCCTGGAGTACTCAGGTAGTATAAATTGCAACCCCCAACCCGAGTGAGGGGAGACTTGTGGTTATGAATTCCACGGTTCTTTGAAGTAGGAGCTACTGGAAGGGAAACTTATTAAAAAAAAAAAAAGTCGAACTCTTCGACTTAATGAGTTATCTTGGTTGTCACACGGTGTTAAGCCAGGAACACGAGCTGGGATTGCTGGTCCTTTAGGGTATGTGATATTGTTTTTCGTCCACAGGAAGAAGTGGGGCAGGTATGCTGTTCCCTTTGTACAGAAGCAGAAATTGAAACCAGCAGAAACCTGGGACTGGGTAGGTCCTCTGCAGACTCTGTGTTTGCCAAAGAGAAACAATATGATGACCCTTCATGAGAGGAAGGTGGGCAGTCTTCACCCGTACATTACCCCCAGTTCCTAAACCCATGTCTGGACCCTTCCTCATCCCCAGCAGCCTAGACCCGAGCTCAACTCTTCACAGAGGAGAAGACAACCCACTTTCGTGGGTGCAGTATTTTAGAGTTACAGAGCGCTTTTCTACGGCACCTTGTTTTTTAGCAGTGCTGGGAGACAGGCAAGATGGGTACTCTCATTCGAATCGTATAGATGAGGTGTCTGAGAAACTGGGACCTAGGCTGGTGATGGGGTTTGCTGTGAAAGCCACACATTCAAATGGTACATCTGGGCTTCTAACTCACATTCTTTGTCATCTCAGGCTTTGGGGTCAGAGAGGTACTTAGATCCTGATGATAATGGATTTTTGTTTGCTTTTTATTGAGGTGAAATTCCCATGACATACAATTAGCCATTTGAAAGTGAACAATTCATGGCATTTAATACATTCACAGTGTTGTGCAACCGCTATTTCTGTCTTCAGAAATGACCATCAACCCCGCCCTGGGTTTTTGTGCTGAATAAAAGAGCTTATCTGTGTAAGACATCCAGCTCAGGGCCTTGCCCCTGCTAGGGGCTGAATGGAGGGAGCTTGTGTTATCAGACTCTCTCTAGCTCTCTCATAAACCTGGTAATGTAGAAAGAGGAATTCTTTTCTAAATTTAGCACCTTGAGAAAATCAGGTTGAGGATACGTGAAGCATTCATGTCCCAATCCTTTTTTTAAAATGACATTTCAAAATTGCTCTTCCAGGAACCCTTTCCCAAGGAACTCCTGTTCTTGAAAGCAGACGCATTTTCCTGCCACTGCCCCAGGACTGAACCACACGCTGTCACAGAGCATCTTGTATTTTTTAAAGAGTTCGTCTCTTGGCCAGGCCGTGACATGCACAACCTTGGAGGTACCACAATGCTCTACCTTGTCCTGGGTACAGAAAAGATGTTGGATGGTACTGAGTGATGGCAGGCAAGCTCCAAAATTCCAGCCAAACCCTGGTGACCAAGGTTTTTCCCACATTTGAAATCGTGGTTTTGGTGACTGAGGATATGCCTGTTGGGTGCCAGTCTGGGCTCAGGTTGGCCATCCCTGGCTGAGACAAGGTCCCAGCTCCCACATCTGCGCCACACGACAGGTTGGAAGGCGAGAGCTTCAAGCAGGCAAACCCAAGAATAGAACGGCTTTGACCTTTATTTAGATGTTCCGATTCCAGGATCATAGGTCCCAGGCCCCAAGAAGTTGTGACTGTCCCTTTGGCTTCCTACATTACCAGGTGTTGAAGCGAGTGACCTCCGTAGTGGCCAGGGGTGGCCAAGGGAGAGGGCTGGTGAGGAACGTGGCTGGGGAATTCAGGATGAGAGCCCGCACAGGGCTGGCGGGCCTACAAGCTCACAGTGTTCAGACTTATGGGAGGATTTTCCCTCTGGCGACCCCTTAGGGCTCTCCAGGCCATCACTGTGCCAACACCAACCGCAAGGCCGCCTCCCGCTGCCACTGGCACGGCCCAGGAGAGCATTGGGGGGTCTGCTTTAGCCCGGTCTTGGAGCAGCCGACTGTTCCTCAGGGTGCAGATGTAGGGGCGCCCCTGTGGAGGAGGAGAGGGTCAGGGCTCAGGGCCTGAAAACCACCCATCTGAGGCTTGTGTAGTCCCCATCCCAGAGACGGTGCAATAACCTTGTTTCCACAGCTCATCCCTGTTTGTAAAGCTCCTTCATCCACACTGTGCCCCAACCCCCTGGATAAGGAGGGGTATCCAAAGTGGTCAACACCCAGCTATAACCTCCTTTCCTGTCAACTCAGTTTTGAGAGATCGGGAACTGATAGGTGACCCGTGGAAGAGAGTCCTGAGGAGCTTGCAGAGTGCCCACCTCTGTTTCCTCTAGGCCGCCCCGGACAGCTATTCCCATCCTCCCATCCCAGGAGTGCCCGCGAGCGGGGAAGGTCGGTGTGGAAGGACAGCTGGTTCTGTAGTAGGTTAAGAACCCAAATGTGAAGGGCCTGCCTCCTTTCCTTCCCCCCGGTGAATGCTGGTGGCATGGTGGCTGTGTGGAGCCCTGTGCTAGGAACTGGAAGAGGGCCTGAGGGTTCAGGTGTGACATCACTCGCTCGCGGTCCAGTGGGAGATAAGACATGTTCAGAAACAATCCCATCACAGAGGAGCCTGGGTCAGTGCTTGTGAGAGGTGCGCACAGAAAAGAGAGACCAATGCTGATGCGTGTCTGGGGTGGGAGTGGTAGGGTGAGATAAGGTGGACGGTAGCCCAGAGAGGGCAACATCTGGGCCTTGCAGGATGTGAAAATTTCCCACAGGTAGAGATGGGGGTTGAGCCTCCAGAAGGAGCAGCTGGCAGAAGCAGATGCACAGACCGGGGCTGTCGTGGGGCTGCTCTGGGAAGCCGCTCCGTTTTCCAGGAGCGGAGTGTGTGCCTAAGGTGAGAGGGGAAGGTGGGCCTCTTGTCTGGACTCTGCTCCGTGGGCGCGGGGACCGGGGAAGGGTTTTAACAGCCTTGACGAGACTGGAATTCCTTCCAGGTGGGCCACTCTGGGTCTGGCAGCGATTACAGGACGGACAGAGAAGGGAGAAAGGAGAGCTGGGGAGACAAGGTTGGGGCTTCGTCCCTGGTCCGGGCGAGGGCGGTGCGGGCCTGGACACTGGTGGTGCTGGAGGGCCAGGAAGATGACGTGGGCACCCAGAACAGACACGGCCTCTTATTTCTCTTTTCCTCCCAACCCCCAGCTCCCAGGAGCATGCCTGGCATGGGAGGGCTCCTCGACGCGTGTTTAAGACAGAGGATGCCACAGACCCTCCAGGGTCACGGGGGTAACGAGGTTCTGGCCAGTGCTCGCTCATCTGCCTTGCCGGGCCTCTTCCTGATTCGGTGAACCCATCCCTTTGTCCCTCCCCTCACTCCTGGCTGCGGCTCCCTGAGGACCTGAGAAGTGTCGGGGCAGCCAGGAGAGGTGAGATTTGAGAACAGTGGTCGTGAATGAACGTGCATGATGGTGAAGCCTCCCAGGGGACTTTTGTGCCTCCAGATGGCCAGGACCTCCCCCCTCCCCCAACCCAGGCACCTGTTCCACTCTAGACAGGCAGGACCTTACTCACAGGGGAGGGGCACTTGAGTTTGGTTCGGCTATAGGTGAAGTTGTTGGAGGTTGTCTTTTGACCCACGGGTTCCAGCTGAAAAGAGAAAAGGAAACCTTGGTTCCCTCCAAAGCTGGGAGAGACCTCCCTGTCCGAGGGAGGAGAATCTCACACCAGATTCCCTCCCTTTGCAAGGCTGAAACCAGCCAAAGGGGCAAGACCTGGGGCAGACACTAGCGGCCCTGGGGCCAGAGCTAGACCTGACTTCTGACTCACAGACTGACAGGTCAGAGTCCATCAGAGGAGGGGGCAACCCTGAGTCTGTGTCCTGGATTTACTGCGGAGGACACTGAGGCCCAGGAGAGACTGACCGGTCCAGAGGCTGCAGCGAGAGTGGGAGGGCAGAGCCCAGGACCTCCACCTCCTGCTTTCCTGCTGGGTGGTTGTGACTGCAGCCACTCTGCACTTTCAACTTTATAAAATGGTGATCATCATATTTACCAACTCCTTGAAGTGTCTGGGGATAGTCAATTTCAGGAAAATTTTGAACACATACTGGTTACCATGACGTCATTATTATGCTTGGCTTGTCAACCTTAAGAAATTGGCATTTTCTCACTTGAGCTTTCGTGTGTTTTCCGCATAGATGAAAAGATTTACTTGAAACCTCCTGGGGAGCAGCTGTGGTTCAGGGAGGTTCTGCTTCATGCTTTTGATCCTGGGACCCTCTGAGAATGAGCTGGAAGCTGCTGTGACTCCCTCCCCAGCATCTTAAGCCAGTAGACTGCCCCCTGGCAGCACGTGGCCAGCACCAAGGAGAATGGATCCCTGGCACTCACTTATCCAGACTCTGTCCTGAATGTCTAGCGTCCACCCATCATATGATCTGCTTCCCTGCCTGTTCCTGACCTCATCAGCTCCTGACCCCCAGGTACTGCCCAGGAGGGAAGGGGGAAAGTCCACTATGCCGGCTAATGACCACACCTGGCCCGTGACCTTGCTTTTTGTTGTCTTACAGCCTTTTCCACCTGTCTGTTAGTAACAATTAGAGGAGGAAGGGCTGCTCTGGTCTTGGGAGAGTCACCACGGTGACTGGACAGAGCATGGTGGGCACATCCACTGGGGTCCTGGCTCTGCTGATAATGAGCTGTGTGGTGCTAGGTGGGCTCCTGAACTGCCCCTAGCATTTTTCCTGCGTAGCAGAACCACCTAGTGACAGAACAAATGCTACAGATCAGTTGGCTGAGCCCCAGTGATACTCCAGGAACCCAGGAACTACCTGGCGTCGAGGAAGGTAATGATCATATGGATTTGATGACTGTATCAGTTTCTCCCTTTCTACTGGTTCCTCGGCATCGGTGCACAGCCTACTCTATTTCCCAGGCTTGAAGCCCCATCCCCATCCCCCCTCCCCTCCAGCTGCCTTCACCATTACTCCTCATAACTCTAGAAGAGTTGTTTGTAGCCCCTGGTTGCACTTCCCAACCTCCCGTTCTCTCTAACACCCATTCAGTAGGTCTTCAGTCTCCACCACTTGACTCAGCTCTGGTCAAGGTCACCAAGGACCTTGCTAGATTCAGTGGTCACTTATTTTGGATTCATCTTGCTTGACTTTTCAGCAGAATTTGTCAAAGTTGATGCCTCCCTTTCACAACACTTCTCGTTTCCCTCCCACCTCCCCCTTCTCTCCTTCTCATCGGTCGGTCGTTGGGTCAAAAGTTGGAAGAAAGCCCCAGGCTTGGTGGTTGGTCCTTTGCTCTCTTCCACCTATTCTTTCTCTAGGAGATCTCAGAAAACCCCATGGTCTTGAATGCCACTTCTATGCTAATAACCCGCACATTTTTTCCCCTAAATCTCCATTTCTGACTCTCTCTGAGCTCCAGAATCATACATTTAACACCATACCTGATACCTCTGGGTGGATTTCTGGAAGGCAGCTTACACTGACCATGTCCAAAATAAGAACTTTTGATTTTCCCCTCCCAACTCTATTTCTCTCTACACACCTCAGCTGTCCACCCAGTTTCCTTGACCTCAAACTGAAGAATCACCCCTGTTCCTCTTCTGCCTCATCCACCAGCCAGTCCAAAACACATCCCAAATCTGACCACTTCCCTCCGCCCCCACTGCCATCCCCTGGTCCCGGCCACCTTCACCTCTCACCTGGACTTCCAGCAGCTTCCTAATGGTCTTTCCAACTCCTCTCTTGCTTCCTTCTAGTCTGTCTCTATGCAGCAGCTGGAGGGCAAACCAGATCACGTGGCTCTCCCGACGAAAGCCATCCAAGGACCCGGCCCCTGCTCTC